GGTAAGTAATATACTACACAGGACAGGATCAGCTCCTGTAACTGTTTCCACACTACATACACTGTGTATCAAGGATAGTTCAGTAAATAGAGGAAATAGCATGTGTGCTCATGTAATATTGAATTTATTAACGAGTTTAATAAATTCAATATTACATTAACACTTATGTTAGATTCTATTTATTATATAATTCGAGAAACACCCCTACATAATAAATTCAATGTTACATGAACACTCGTGTTAGGGTTCTATTTATTAGCTCACCTGGTCCAAAGGACCAAGGTGAGCTTATGCCATACCGTGGCGTCCGTCGTCCGTTCGTCCGTGGTCCGTCGTCCGTCGTCCGTCCGTCAACAATTTCTTTAAACGACTTCTTCTTCTTAACCACTGATTGAAATTTTACTAAATTTGACTGGAAGCATCCTTAGGTGGTGGGGAATCAAAATTGTACAAATGGTGGGGCTGACCCCCCAGGGGGCTGAGGGGCGGGGCAAAAAGGGGGCAATTTGGCTATATTGCTTTAAGCGACTTGTTCTCTGGAACTAAGTGATGGATATTAACCATATTAGACTGGAAGCATCCCTAGGTGGTGGGGATTCAAAATTGTACAAATGGTGGGGCTAACCCCCAGGGGGCTGAGAGGCGGAGCCAAAAGGGGGCAATTTAGCTATATTGCTTTAAGCAATTTCAATGCACATTTGCTTCCAGGATGGCCCTAGGGTCTGGCCCCACCCTTGGAAACATAGTCATTGGGCCATAACTTTAAAACGGCTGAGATCCCCACTCAAAAACTATATATACAAATGCTGGGCAAAAAGAGACAAATGCAGTCATGATATTAGAATTGCCCCCAGGGTTTGCCCCACCCTTGCAGACTTAACCCCTGGATCATAACTTTGAAACGGTTGAAATCCCCACCCCAAAACTATATATACAAATGCTGGGCAAAAAGAGACAAATGCAGTCATGATATTCCTGTTAGGGTTCTATTAATTAGCTCACTGGGTCCGTCCGTCCGTCCGTCAACAATTTCTTTAAACGACTTCTTCTTCTTAACCACTGATTGAAATTTTACTAAATTTGACTGGAAGCATCCTTAGGTGGTGGGGAATCAAAATTGTACAAATGGTGGGGCTGACCCCCCGGGCTAAGGGGTGGGACCAAAAAAAGTTTATTGCCTGGAAATGGTTGAGATCCCCACCATATAACCACATATACAATTGCTGAGTATAAAGAGAAGAATGCACAATTGCTTCCAGGATGGCCCTAGGGTCTGGCCCCACCCTTGGAAACATAGTCATTGGGCCATAACTTTAAAACGGCTGAGATCCCCACTCAAAAACTATATATACAAATGCTGGGCAAAAAGAGACAAATGCAGTCATGATATTAGAATTGCCCCCAGGGTTTGCCCCACCCTTGCAGACTTAACCCCTGGATCATAACTTTGAAACGGTTGAAATCCCCACCCCAAAACTATATATACAAATGCTGGGCAAAAAGAGACAAATGCAGTCATGATATTCCTGTTAGGGTTCTATTAATTAGCTCACTGGGTCCGTCCGTCCGTCCGTCAACAATTTCTTTAAACGACTTCTTCTTCTTAACCACTGATTGAAATTTTACTAAATTTGACTGGAAGCATCCTTAGGTGGTGGGGAATCAAAATTGTACAAATGGTGGGGCTGGCCCCCCAGGGGGCTGAGGGGCGGGGCAAAAAAGGGGCAATTTGGCTATATTGCTTTAAGCGACTTCTTCTCTGGAACTAAGTGATGGATATCAACCATATTATACTGGAAGCATCCCTAGGTGGTGGGGCTTCAAAATTGCACAAATGGTTGGGCTGACCCCCCAGGGGTCTGAGGGGCGGGGCCAAAAACGGGGCAATTTGGCTAGATTGCTATAAACGACTTCTTCTGTAGAACTGTGGCATGGACATTTTTTCATATTTGGTTGAAAGCATTCATAGGAGGCAGGGATTCAAAATTGTACAAATGGTGGGGCTGAACCCCCAGAGGGCTGAGGGGCGGGGCCAAAAGGGGGCAATTTGGCTATATTGCTATAAACGAATTCTTCTGTAGAACTGTGGCATGGACATTTTTTCATATTTGGTTGAAAGCATTCATAGGAGGCAGGGATTCAAAATTGTCCAAATGGTGGGGCTGATCCCTAGGGAGCTGAGGGGCGGAGCCAAAAGGGGGCAATTTAGCTATATTGCTTTAAGCAATTTCTAATCTGGAACTATGAGATGGATATCAATCATTTTTGACTGGAAGCATTCCTAGGTGGTGGGGATTCAAAATTGTACAAATGGTGGGGGTGACCACCCAGGGGGCTGAGGGCGGGGCCAAAAGGAGGCAATTTGGCTATATTGCTATAAACGACTTCTTCTGTAGAACTGTGCCATGGGTATTGATCATATTAGACTGGAAGCATCCCTAGGTGGGGGGGATTCAAAATTGTACAAATGGTGGGACTGACCACCAAGGGGGCTGAGGGCGGGTCCAAAAGGGGGCAATTTGGCTATATTGCTATAAACGACTTCTTCTGTAGAACTGTGGCATGGATATTTTTTCATATTTGGTTGAAAGCATTCATAGGAGGCAGGGATTCAAAATTGTCCAAATGGTGGGGCTGATCCCTAGAGAGCTGAGAGGCGGAGCCAAAAGGGGACAATTTGGCTATATTGCTTTCAGCGACTTCTTCTCTGGAACTAAGAGATGGATATCAACCATATTTGACTGGAAGCATCCCTAGGTGGTGGGAATTCAAAATTGTACAAATGGTGGGGCTAACCCCCAGGGGGCTGAGAGGCGGAGCCAAAAGGGGGCAATTTAGCTATATTGCTTTAAGCAATTTCTAATCTGGAACTATGAGATGGATATCAATCATTTTTGACTGGAAGCATTCCTAGGTGGTGGGGAATCAAAATTGTATAAATGGTGGGGCTGAACCCCCAGAGGGCTGAGGGGCGGGGCCAAAAGGGGGCAATTTGGCTATATTGCTATAAACGACTTCTTCTGTAGAACTGTGCCATGGATATTGATCATATTTGGATTTGGTTGAAAGCATTAATGGTCGAGATCTCCGAGGTATAACCATATATACAATTGCTTAGTATAAAGAGAAGAATGCACATTTGCTTCTAGGATGGCTCTAGGGTCTGGCCCCACCCTTGGAGACATAGTCCTTGGGTCATAACTTTGAAACGGTTGAGATCCCCACCCTAAAACTTTAAATACAAATGCTGGGCATAAAGAGACAAATGCAGCCATGATATTAGAATTGATCCTGGGGTCTGGCCACAACCCTATGAACCTAGTGTCTGAGTCACAGCTTGGAAACAGTTGAGATCTCCACCCCATAATATAACCATACATAAAATTGCTGGGCATGAAAAATCTAATACAGATCTCTACAAGGATAGGCTTTGGGGTCTGGCCAATTCCCTTAGATCTCATTTGGAGAATATTTTGCCATGATTGCTTCGATATCCAGGTGAGCGATACAGGCCCTCCGGGCCTCTTGTTTACTTCTCCTGTTAAGCTGATGGGATTTGGGTCAGATTTGACACACTTGTTTGTTTGATGGCCCTAAACAACTATTGTTATTTTTTGTCTACATCAAGGTCACAAGAGGTCAAATATGCCAAAAATCTGTATAATACCTACATTGTGTACATACAGTACACAATATAGTCTAGAAACTGAAACGTATATGTGGCTGTGATCACACTTCCTCCTTCTTTAGCAGGAAAATGGTGGAAAAAATAATGGGATTAAAAACCTAAACCTGAATACAGGGAATGGCATTATCATTGTTATCATATAATTCAAGTTTATGTGGGTTGTATATTTGTCACCCTTTTTGGTGACAGCTCTAGCTAAAAATATTAAAATATTTAGGTGGTTAAAAGTTTTTCTATCAAAACCTTTTGTTCATTATCGTACTATTCACTGAAATGTCGCACAAACATTTCACTGGTTGTGCCACATGAACCTATAATACAACTTATACTTACCTACCTGAGGAAAATGATTAGAAATCAGAATGTTTGCTAGTTTGTGCAATCCTTAAAAGTACTTACCTTAGAATGCTTGATATGAAATACCATTTTATTGCCAAGAAAATTTGAATTGAATAATGAAGCTTATCACTTTTCTTACATTTCTTTTGTTACATTATATTCTTTTGTTACATTATATTCTTTTGTTACATTATATTCTTTGAGCAATAAGTGGAAGACTGATTTTGTTTTCAATTATTTTAGGAAATAGAACTGATCAATCTGTAATCTGTATTTTTGTATAGGATGTTTACCACCAAGACGTTTCCAAAAGTGACACACCAGAAAAGAAGGAAGTACGCTTGGCTACAGATTTTTTGAGAAATTCTCAAAACAGCATTCATGTAGAAGAGTTTAGTGTTGTGAAATTGTACACCCTAGCAGAGACTCGGTTTGCTCTGTGCGTGGTAGCTAAGTATGTACAGAAAATATATGTGGACAAATCTGTTAGGATGACAAAAGGTGTGCGACAGATGATTGATGCTGCAGCCAAACTTTGTGAAGAATGTGGCTCGGAATGGCCTTGGTAAGTATACACTTTATCTTTTATACCTCACTTCATGAAGACAAGAAATACTTTTTATCACACAAGTGTATTCTGCATTGACTAAACTAACGGAAAAAATGATGAGTTTTGACAAAAAGCAATCTTTGTGAAACCTATCTATACAGATACCACCAGGATAAATGTTTCCAATCTAAGTAGACAGATTTTTCAGATAACATCACAAAGAATTGTATGGAATCCTGTATAAACAAGTTTCCATATTGTACAATGTTCTGTTACTGTATCAAGGGAGGTTCTGAGATGATGCGATCCTTTAAAGTCTAACTGCTCTTTTTCAGTATATTCTTTATCAAGCAGCTGTGTCGTTGCTATGGACTCGACAGTTACCAGTCGGTGTGTAAATCTGGAGACGCTAATATGTGTCGATGGCTTCAGATGCTGGATCTTGACAGGGATGAGGTGTGTACAATTTAAACAGTACTTTAAAAGAGTTTTTCTGTGTAAATTTTAATTTGTATTATGCCCCACCATTTTATTGGGTTCTGGAGAGAAGGGCATATAGTATTTCCAATGTTCATCTCCTTCTTTCTCCTCCTGGTTCTTGTCATTGCTCTAGCAACAGATTTTGAGCAAACTTTAAACAAAGGTCAAGGTCAATTAATAAATAATACTGTTTTTTTAACTTAACAAATCAGTTCGTTATACTCATTTTTGACCTAAAATTATTTGTAATTTTCTTGGGACTTCATTTTGCTTTTAATTTTCGGGAAAATTCCTCAGGAACATATAAAATTAAAAGTCGTTTTTTAGCCCACACTCATCAAATGCCACCAGGCAACTATCTTGGATTTTGACAGTTCAAAAATATTTTCACTCTTTCCCGAATTTCTTATGTTGATTCCCCTTAGTCCATAGCTGTGCATGTTTTATTTTGGGACTGATAGAAACTTCAAGGTTTCCATTAGGCAGCCATCTTGGACTTTGACCGTTTAAATTTGTTATCACTATTTGTAAAGACGTACTTGACAGATCTTTCTGAAGTTTTAAATGTAGGTTTCCCTTGGTAATTATGTTAATGTACTGAACCTGAACTAGTAAATATGTTAAATGACATTCTCACTTTGGAAGATAATGTTATCCACGGTAGTATGAATTTCAGATCAAAAGTTACCTCAAGTTGCATTCACTATTTACATGTCTTAATCAAACAGATAAGAAAAAGGAGAAAAAAGATCAGTCTAACATAGAACCTATGAAGATGGAATGTACATTGTGTACAAACAGTACACAGACACCTGTATAGACCCTACATTGTACATACAGTACACAGATACCTGTATAGACCCTACATTGTGTACATACAGTACACAGACACCTGTATAGACCCTACATTGTACATACAGTACACTGACACCTGTATAATACCTACATTGTGTACATACAGTATACAGACACCTGTATAGACCCTACATTGTGTACATACAGTACACAGACACCTGTATAATACCTACATTGTACATACAGTACATTGACACCTGTATAGACCCTACATTGTACATACAGTACACAGACACCTGTATAATACCTACATTGTACATACAGTACACTGACACCTGTATAGACCCTACATTGTACATACAGTACACAGACACCTGTATAATACCTACATTGTACATACAGTACACAGACACCTGTATAATACCTACATTGTACATACGGTACACAGACACCTGTATAGACCCTACATTGTACATACAGTACACAGACACCTGTATAATACCTACATTGTACATACAGTACACTGACACCTGTATAGACCCTACATTGTACATACAGTACACAGACACCTGTATAATACCTACATTGTACATACAGTACACAGACACCTGTATAATACCTACATTGTACATACGGTACACAGACACCTGTATAGACCCTACATTGTACATCAGTACACAGACACCTGTATAGACCCTACATTGTGTACATACAGTACACAGACACCTGTATAATACCTACATTGTACATACAGTACACAGACACCTGTATAATACCTACATTGTACATACAGTACACAGACACCTGTATAGACCCTACATTGTACATACAGTACACAGACACCTGTATAATACCTACATTGTACATACAGTACACAGACACCTGTATAATACCTACATTGTACATACAGTACACAGACACCTGTATAGACCCTACATTGTACATACAGTACACAGACACCTGTATAATACCTACATTGTACATACAGTACACAGACACCTGTATAATACCTACATTGTACATACAGTACACAGACACCTGTATAGACCCTACATTGTACATACAGTACACAGACACCTGTATAATACCTACATTGTACATACAGTACACAGACACCTGTATAATACCTACATTGTACATACAGTACACAGACACCTGTATAATACCTACATTGTACATACAGTACACAGACACCTGTATAGACCCTACATTGTACATACAGTACACAGACACCTGTATAATACCTACATTGTGTACATACAGTACACAGACACCTGTTTGGACCCTACATTGTACATACAGTACACAGATACCTGTATAGACCCTACATTGTACATACAGTACACAGACACCTGTATAATACCTACATTGTACATACAGTACACAGACACCTGTATAATACCTACCTTGTACATACAGTACACAGACACTTCTCAACTGAGGCCTTGTACTGTATACAAACATAAAGTTATTAATTGCAAAGGTTTTTTTAAGTTTGTAGATGATGATTTGTTTTTTACGATCTACTTTGTGCAGGTGCTTGAGTGCTCTGACCTGTACGTGGTATGTGGGGAACAGTACATCACCTGTCGTGAGATGATCACTAAATGTTTACTTGGCCAGGATCCTGACAACCTTATACAACAGCTTGAGGTATGTGTCTGACCATACAAATGGAAACTCCATTGAAGCAAGGAGTTTTGTTTTCAGAAGTATGCGGTTGAGTGCTTTTCAAGACATTAATATTAATTCCTCCGCCAAAACTATCGGACAAGACTGTAAGTTGGTTTGCACTCTATCTGTCAGTCGCTGGGCCAGTCTCTCAGTCGGTTTGCACTCTATCTGTCAGTCGCTGGGCCAGTCTGTCAGTTGGTTTGTACTCTATCTGTCAGTCGCTGGGCCAGTCTCTCAGTTGGTTTGTCCTCTATCTGTCAGTCGCTGGGCCAGTCTCTCAGGTGGTTTGCACTCTATCTGTCAGTCGCTGGGCCAGTCTCTCAGTTGGTTTGTACTCTCTCTGTCAGTCGCTGGGCCAGTCTCTCAGTTGGTTTGTACTCTCTCTGTCAGTCGCTGGGCCAGTCTCTCAGTTGGTTTGTACTCTCTCTGTCAGTCGCTGGGCCAGTCTCTCAGTTGGTTTGTCCTCTATCTGTCAGTCGCTGGGCCAGTCTCTCATTTGGTTTGTACTCTATCTGTCAGTCGCTGGGCCAGTCTCTCAGTTGGTTTGTCAATGCATCATTTTGTCTGAAGAATATCTCGATGTCAAGTTGTTGAGTGTCATACATGCCATCACTTTGTCTGAAGAATATCCCGATGTCAAGTTGTTGAGTGTCATACATGCCGTCACTTTGTCTGAAGAATATCTCGATGTCACGTTGTTGAGTGTCATACATGCCATCACTTGGTCTGAAGAATATCTCGATGTCAAGTTGTTAAGTGTCAATATCTCGATGTCAAGTTGTTGATTGTCATCCATGCCATCACTTTGTCTGAAGAATATCTCGATGTAAAGTTGTTGAGTGTCATACATGCCATCACTTTGTCTTAAGAATATCTCGATGTCAAGTTGTTGAGTGTCATACCTGCCATCACTTTGTCTGAAGAATATCTCGATGTCAAGCTGTTGAGTGTCAATATCTCGATGTCAAGTTGTTGAGTTTCAATATCTCGATGTCAAGTTGTTGAGTGTCAATATCTCGATGTCTAGTTGTTGATTGTCATACATGCCATCACTTTGTCTGGAGAATATCTCGATGTCAAGTTGTTGAGTGTCATACACGCCATCACTTTGTCTGAAGAATATCTCGATGTCACGTTGTTGAGTGTCATACATGCCATCACTTGGTCTGAAGAATATCTCGATGTCAAGTTGTTGATTGTTATACATGCCATCACTTTGTCTGAAGAATATCTCGATGTCAAGTTGTTGATTGTCATCCATGCCATCACTTTGTCTGAAGAATATCTCGATGTCAAATTGTTGAGTGTCATACATGCCATCACTTTGTCCGAAGAATATCTCGATGTCAAGTTGTTGAGGGTCAATATCTCGATGTCAAGTTGTTGAGTGTCAATATCTCGATGTCTAGTTGTTGATTGTCATACATGCCATCACTTTGTCTGAAGAATATCCCGATGTCAAGTTGTTGAGTGTCATACATGCCGTCACTTTGTCTGAAGAATATCTCGATGTCACGTTGTTGAGTGTCATACATGCCATCACTTGGTCTGAAGAATATCTCGATGTCAAGTTGTTGATTGTCATCCATGCCATCACTTTGTCTGAAGAATATCTCGATGTAAAGTTGTTGAGTGTCATACATGCCATCACTTGGTCTGAAGAATATCTCGATGTCAAGTTGTTAAGTGTCAATATCTCGATGTCAAGTTGTTGAGTGTCAATATCTCGATGTCAAGTTGTTGAGTCTCATACATGCCATCACTTTGTCTGAAGAATATCCCGATGTCAAGTTGTTGAGTGTCATACATGCCGTCACTTTGTCTGAAGAATATCTCGATGTCACGTTGTTGAGTGTCATACATGCCATCACTTGGTCTGAAGAATATCTCGATGTCAAGTTGTTGAGGGTCAATATCTCGATGTCAAGTTGTTGAGTGTCATACATGCCATCACTTTCTGGTGCAAAATAGTGAGATCAGTGATTTTTTTTAATGGGATTTGGTCAAAAAGAGTTAGATTTTTTCTCTGAATTATTGAGAAATTTGTGAGACATTTAAAACATAAACTATACTACATATAACATAGTATTATAATTTTTGTGTTATTCTGAAGCTTCCAATTACTTTGTTATAACCAAAATTGAAGATTTATTGATATTTTAAAGGATTGTAGGGAGGTATACAAATGACAATTATGGTCCGGATAAAGCTATCTACATTTACAAGTAAATATATCACAATACTTCCATCAAAGGCAGAAAAATGAATAATGAAAAGAAGTAAAACTTATAGAAGGATGTCCTTGTGACCCAGGTTAGAAAATGTATATCTCAAAACATTGGGAATATTTAATGTTCATTTGTTGAACAAAAAAGTAAATCAATAACTACTACTTCCGCTATTTTTATATGTCCAATTGTGAAGAAACTTGTTAACAGAGTAAATTTCGAATTCAATGTCAGTGTCCGGTTTCGATTTTATTGTTACGACTTAATTTCCGTTTCAGTAAACCATGTGTTCGATTGTAATGAATTAACTAGCAGCTCTTATGTTGCTGTTTAATGTTTATATCAACTGTCATCACATATTTATTAGCAACTAGCCCCCGCTGGATGTGGGATCACTGATTTAATTGCTGAACATGTACAGTTCACACATCGGTGAGCAAGTCACCAAGCCATGCGCAGCTAAGTAAGTCGGCCTGGGCCATTCACACATTTCACACCTAAGCTTCTGCTGCTAAGCCTGGCCTGTAATTGAAGTGGCTGGCGTGTGACTTAAGACCTCTCAGTGACCAAGATCAGTGTGAATCCATGTAGCTATTGTTTATTCACAAAGATTGACCAAATTTTGTTTCTTTTCGTGAGACCGTGAGAAATGTGTCTCATGCCGTGAGGATTTTTTTCTGCAGCAATTTTCGTGAGTCTCATGGCCAAATCATTAGATATGGCATGTGTGGAGTGTCACACCCTGAAATCAGGTTGTGTACCCTGTTATATGCAGAGTTATGGCCCTTTGTTCCCTATGCATCATTTTGTCTAAGGCAATCTTGTATATGCTGTCGTCATTTAGAATGACCAAGTTATGTATGTAAATACCTCTTGGGATGAGGGAGTGCCATATATTGAAAACGGGTCTAGCTAGCTGTCACCCCAATTTGTATACATTTATACAGAGTTAAAGATCCACCATGTGTCACTGTGGCCTAGACGTGTTTTGTATAAGCTGTTGGCTTCTGACCACTCTAAGTTGCTTTACAATAAATGGACATTACACAATTGTTGTAAAACCAATGACCAGGTATTACAATCAATACAATTTGTCAGATTTTGCAGGAGACTATAACTATAGTCCATATCCCCCTGGCCAACACAATATCTCCAAACGTGTGTGCACAAGTTACAGAGTCTGTCATCCCCAAGACAGTTCTATGCTATAGGACACAACTTTGGCTTTGTATGCATTTGCAATAGACTAAGTTGTAGTCATGTTTTACTGTGTATTGAAAGCGTATGAGTTTACTATAACTTAGTGCCTTTTTGTAAACAACAACAAAAAAATGTAAAATTTGGCCTCTGAGAAGCTTGATGAATTTGCTTTATACAGTTGTGAGCTAATATACCTTTATGCATCATCTTTCCCTCTTTCTTTCATTTGTCTTTCTTTCAATCATTAATTAATTAATGAGAAAGGTAAAAAAGTAGCTACTAACTGACTCTTCCTCTAGATTACTTGGATGGATGTTTTTGATGGAAAGCCGTTGCAAGTGGTGATGATGCAAAACTGCACAGGGGCTGAAAGCTTGGGACTAAAAAGCAGGATCAAAAAGAGCGTTTTGGAGATACTGCTTCATGCAACTTCTCCTCTGGATATTTCAGACATCATTCATTTTTGGTTAGAAGTGCAGTCCTCACATCAACTGTACAAATGGAGGAACTATTCGCCCCTGGGTCCAACATGGAAACAGTTGAAGTCTCCACCTTACAATTTCACTCCCACACTGGGGAATTAATCCCTGGGTCTTAACATGGAAACAGTTAAGATTTCCATCATATAACTATAATATATCAAACTGCTGGGTATATAGAGACAAATATGCTACCAAGGTTGGCTCTGGGGACCTTTGCACCATTGGGGACTCAAGTTCCTTTTTCATAATCAGAAACAGTTTCAATATAACCATATACATGTATGTGCTTGCTGAGCATGAGGAGACTTTCAGGATTAGACCTGGGGTCTATCCCCACTCCTAGATTTTGCAATATTGTTTTGATGCTATCCAATATGCTCGAGGACTCATAAAAGGTATGATGTAGACTTCACACAGTTTTTTTTACCTCACTTAGCAACATAACAGACTTGCTTTAGGTAATGTTTGTTCTTAAATCTTGCTCTTTTGAAGGCTTTGAGAAATTTGGATTGGAAGAAGAGAGTGACTTTATTGCTGGCAGTCTACCGAGAAGTCACTATGTCTTTTGTCTACCCAGAGGACCGGAGGAAAACACAACCAGAGGTAAATTGTGTTCCATTTGTACAATTTTCTGCAATCAAGATGCAGTCAAATCTGAGACCACACAGGGGAAGGATCAAGAGTGCTTTTCTAAGCAGAGATGGTCTCTTAGGACAGAGTTATTGTATAGTAAAACTGCTTTGTGGGAATGAGAAATCTGGGTATCTGTAAGAGAGACGATTACTCCATAGGAGCAGTGTCTCTAGCAGAATCCAATGTGACTCATGGTATTTTTGGTGCTCATTTGAAATGAAAAACTGTTGGCCTGCATGGTTTCAGATTTACTGAAACATTTAAAACAGAATTCAAGATAAGTTTATTTCAATGTACCAAATATCTACCAATAGCTTATGCAATCTCAATGTAGAACTTAAAACTCCCTCATGGCACTGAGCAAACATCAATACAGGCCCTAGGATTTCTTGTTTCTTCAAAATATGCAAGGTTAAAAAATATCTCCAGTCTATACATTTATGTTGTAAGTGGCTTCTACAATAAAGTTTTTGCCATACATTAGTGGGCTAGATTATTCAAATTGGGCAAGTTTTGTTTGAATACTCTATGTTGGCTGAAACAGCAACCTTACACAGCTTTGTTTTATTGTTCGTCTAAAAAATGAATACCTTCGTATTTTCAGATGTATGAACAACTTCTTGATGCCTTGTCCAGCCATCATCTGTTCAATGCACAGGTAAACATATGCTATTTCCTGATATTTTTGGTTTTTGAAGAAGGTTTATGAAATGAAAAAAAGAAATGTCCTCCAAGCTTCTCTGTAAGAATGAAGCATTTCATCATATTCTACAGATAACCAACTCTCTATTCTGTAATTGAAAGCCCTGTAAGAATCACAATGGTATCAACAGTTTATGTTTGATGTTGTTCAGGGAAACCTCCTTACAGCATTGTTCCAAAACACAATCTGGCGTCGAATCAACCACTTGAACATCCACCCAGGAATGGAGCTGCGCAACCAGAGCATTGTGTGTCTGCTTGCCCACGCAGGGATCACCTTCCTACAGGTTCCAGAAGACAACACTCTGTTACAGCCTCTTATAACACTGGCCCTCCTACCACAGAACATGGCGGTATGTATCTCTTATTACACTGGCCCTCCTACCACAGAACATGACAGTATGTATCTCTTATTACACTGGCCTTCCTACTACAGAACATGGCAGTATGTATCCTTCATTACCCTAGCCCTCCTACCACAGAACATGGCGGTATGTATCTCTTATTACACTGGCCCTCCTGCCACAGAACATGACAGTATGTATTTCTTATTACACTGGCCTTCCTACCACAGAACATGACAGTATGAATCTCTTATTACACTGGCCTTCCTACCACAGAACATGACAGTATGTATTTCTTATTACACTGGCCTTCCTACCACAGAACATGACAGTTGTATCTCTTATTACACTGGCTCTCCTGCCACAGAACATGGCGGTATGTATCTCTTATTTCCCTGGCCCTCCTACCACAGAACATGTCGGTATGTATCTCTTATTACACGGGCCCTCCTACCACAGAACATGACAGTATGTATTTCTTATTACACTGGCCTTCCTACCACAGAACATGACAGTATGTATTTCTTATTACACTGGCCTTCCTACCACAGAACATGACAGTTGTATCTCTTATTACACTGGCTCTCCTACCCCAGAACATGGCGGTATGTATCTCTTATTACACTTGCCCTCCTACCCCAGAACATGACAGTATGTATCTCTTAGTACACTGGCCTTCCTACTACAGAACATAGCAGTATGTATCCTTCATTACACTAGCCCTCCTACCACAGAACATGGCTATATGTATCTCTTATTACACTGGCCTTCCTACCACAGAACATGGCGGAATGTATCTCTTATTACACTGGTCCTCCTACCACAGAACATGGCGGGATGTATCTCTTATTACACTGGTCCACCTACCACAGAACATGGCGGTGTGTATCTCTGATTACACTGGCCCTCCTACCAGAGAACATGGCTGTATGTATCTCTTATTACACTGGCCTTCCTACCACAGAACATGACAGTTGTATCTCTTATTACACTGGCCCTCCTACCACAGAACATGGCGGTGTGTATCTCTGATTACACTGGTTCTCCTTCCACAGAACATGGCGGTATGTATCTCTTATTACACTGGTCCTCCTACCACAGAACATGGCGGTATGTATCTCTTATTACACTGGCCCTCCTACCACAGAACATGGCTGTATGTATCTCTTATTACACTGGCCCTCCTACCACAGAACATGGCGGTATGTATCTCTGATTACACTGGCCCTCCTACCACAGAACATGGCTGTATGTATCTCTTATTACACTGGCCCTCCTACCACAGAACATGGCGGTATGTATCTCTGATTACACTGGCTCTCCTACCACAGAACATGGCGGTATGTATCCCTTATCATGCTCACCCCCACCTCCATTTTATATTAGGCCCTGTTTATTTTGTTTCTTTCAAATATTTTGACTGTACATGTTCTGGTATGGGGAGCGTCAGTCCATCCATCCACTCTTTGGTAACTTGATAACTTGATCAAATATCATTTGATTTGACTGTTCGACAAGGTACAATATGTTTTCTCCTTTCACCACATCTTCAAATATTTCAATTTTTACAGAATAAAACAGTACAATTGAGTTATGTCTTGTTACATTTCAGTATTTCCATTTATTTTAATACAAATGTGCATCAGAAGGATTTAAGGATGTCAGTTTGGCAATGACATGGGGCGGGCGCATGTTGTACAACCTCTGGGGTACGCTACTTAATTTCATTTTCTTTTTCTCCAGAGGTGCTTTTTACCCACAATGCCACAGGATGACATGTCAGAGGTCAAGGAAGCTCTGTTAGCAGCCAGGGATCTTCATGGCAATGAAAATCCTGTTGTTTATCGTAAGTGATCATAGTAAATCTGAATGGTAAAATACCTGCAAAGGCTCTACCTTGAATTGGTTTCACTCACACAATTTCTTTTCATAAAGTTAACATCATTTTAGTTAACTTTGTAAGTTCAGTTTCATACCTTTGTAATACAAAGTTTTTGCTATGAATATGTCTTACCATGGCTCTCATATGCTGCACTTATTCATTTTGGCCTTATCAGTTCGATGTAACTCAGCTCCTGCCCACATTAGCCAGGGGAACTGTAACAAGTATAGGTAGGGGTCGTTCCACAGCCAAGCTGCTTCCTGGCACCCGGTAAACTCGTAAACTTGACATTAACTAGTATTGACCCTTGGCACAACTCTGTTGGATAACAACAAACCTATACTGTAAAGGTTTTACACACATTTTTACTATTAAAGTGCTATAAAAGTGGTGAAAAGACTGCCGTTTGATTTATCATAGTGATGTTATTGAAGCGCTTTTTTCATTTCAGGTTGTCCAAATGGTCATCCCTATATCATAGGAAATGTAAGTTAATTATCAATGGTCATCCCTATATCATAGGAAATGTAAGTTAATTATCAATGGTCATCCCTATATCATAGGAAATGTAAGTTAATTATCAATGGTCATCCCTATATCATAGGAAATGTAAGTTAATTATCAATGGTCATCCCTATATCATAGGAAATGTAAGTTAATTATCAATGGTCATCCCTATATCATAGGAAATGTAAGTTAATTATCAATGGTCATCCCTATATCATAGGAAATGTAAGTTAATTATCAATGGTCATCCCTATATCATAGGAAATGTAAGTTAATTATCAATGGTCATCCCTATATCATAGGAAATGTAAGTTAATTATCAATGGTCATCCCTATATCATAGGAAATGTAAGTTAATTATCAATGGTCATCCCTATATCATAGGAAATGTAAGTTAATTATCAATGGTCATCCCTATATCATAGGAAATGTAAGTTAATTATCAATGGTCATCCCTATATCATAGGAAATGTAAGTTAATTATCAATGGTCATCCCTATATCATAGGAAATGTAAGTTAATTATCAATGGTCATCCCTATATCATAGGAAATGTAAGTTAATTATCAATGGTCATCCCTATATCATAGGAAATGTAAGTTAATTATCAATGGTCATCCCTATATCATAGGAAATGTAAGTTAATTATCAATGGTCATCCCTATATCATAGGAAATGTAAGTTAATTATCAATGGTCATCCCTATATCATAGGAAATGTAAGTTAATTATCAATGGTCATCCCTATATCATAGGAAATGTAAGTTAATTATCAATGGTCATCCCTATATCATAGGAAATGTAAGTTAATTATCAATGGTCATCCCTATATCATAGGAAATGTAAGTTAATTATCAATGGTCATCCCTATATCATAGGAAATGTAAGTTAATTATCAATGGTCATCCCTATATCATAGGAAATGTAAGTTAATTATCAATGGTCATCCCTATATCATAGGAAATGTAAGTTAATTATCAATGGTCATCCCTATATCATAGGAAATGTAAGTTAATTATCAATGGTCATCCCTATATCATAGGAAATGTAAGTTAATTATCAATGGTCATCCCTATATCATAGGAAATGTAAGTTAATTATCAATGGTCATCCCTATATCATAGGAAATGTAAGTTAATTATCAATGGTCATCCCTATATCATAGGAAATGTAAGTTAATTATCAATGGTCATCCCTATATCATAGGAAATGTAAGTTAATTATCAATGGTCATCCCTATATCATAGGAAATGTAAGTTAATTATCAATGGTCATCCCTATATCATAGGAAATGTAAGTTAATTATCAATGGTCATCCCTATATCATAGGAAATGTAAGTTAATTATCAATGGTCATCCCTATATCATAGGAAATGTAAGTTAATTATCAATGGTCATCCCTATATCATAGGAAATGTAAGTTAATTATCAATGGTCATCCCTATATCATAGGAAATGTAAGTTAATTATCAATGGTCATCCCTATATCATAGGAAATGTAAGTTAATTATCAATGGTCATCCCTATATCATAGGAAATGTAAGTTAATTATCAATGGTCATCCCTATATCATAGGAAATGTAAGTTAATTATCAATGGTCATCCCTATATCATAGGAAATGTAAGTTAATTATCAATGGTCATCCCTATATCATAGGAAATGTAAGTTAATTATCAATGGTCATCCCTATATCATAGGAAATGTAAGTTAATTATCAATGGTCATCCCTATATCATAGGAAATGTAAGTTAATTATCAATGGTCATCCCTATATCATAGGAAATGTAAGTTAATTATCAATGGTCATCCCTATATCATAGGAAATGTAAGTTAATTATCAATGGTCATCCCTATATCATAGGAAATGTAAGTTAATTATCAATGGTCATCCCTATATCATAGGAAATGTAAGTTAATTATCAATGGTCATCCCTATATCATAGGAAATGTAAGTTAATTATCAATGGTCATCCCTATATCATAGGAAATGTAAGTTAATTATCAATGGTCATCCCTATATCATAGGAAATGTAAGTTAATTATCAATGGTCATCCCTATATCATAGGAAATGTAAGTTAATTATCAATGGTCATCCCTATATCATAGGAAATGTAAGTTAATTATCAATGGTCATCCCTATATCATAGGAAATGTAAGTTAATTATCAATGGTCATCCCTATATCATAGGAAATGTAAGTTAATTATCAATGGTCATCCCTATATCATAGGAAATGTAAGTTAATTATCAATGGTCATCCCTATATCATAGGAAATGTAAGTTAATTATCAATGGTCATCCCTATATCATAGGAAATGTAAGTTAATTATCAATGGTCATCCCTATATCATAGGAAATGTAAGTTAATTATCAATGGTCATCCCTATATCATAGGAAATGTAAGTTAATTATCAATGGTCATCCCTATATCATAGGAAATGTAAGTTAATTATCAATGGTCATCCCTATATCATAGGAAATGTAAGTTAATTATCAATGGTCATCCCTATATCATAGGAAATGTAAGTTAATTATCAATGGTCATCCCTATATCATAGGAAATGTAAGTTAATTATCAATGGTCATCCCTATATCATAGGAAATGTAAGTTAATTATCAATGGTCATCCCTATATCATAGGAAATGTAAGTTAATTATCAATGGTCATCCCTATATCATAGGAAATGTAAGTTAATTATCAATGGTCATCCCTATATCATAGGAAATGTAAGTTAATTATCAATGGTCATCCCTATATCATAGGAAATGTAAGTTAATTATCAATGGTCATCCCTATATCATAGGAAATGTAAGTTAATTATCAATGGTCATCCCTATATCATAGGAAATGTAAGTTAATTATCAATGGTCATCCCTATATCATAGGAAATGTAAGTTAATTATCAATGGTCATCCCTATATCATAGGAAATGTAAGTTAATTATCAATGGTCATCCCTATATCATAGGAAATGTAAGTTAATTATCAATGGTCATCCCTATATCATAGGAAATGTAAGTTAATTATCAATGGTCATCCCTATATCATAGGAAATGTAAGTTAATTATCAATGGTCATCCCTATATCATAGGAAATGTAAGTTAATTATCAATGGTCATCCCTATATCATAGGAAATGTAAGTTAATTATCAATGGTCATCCCTATATCATAGGAAATGTAAGTTAATTATCAATGGTCATCCCTATATCATAGGAAATGTAAGTTAATTATCAATGGTCATCCCTATATCATAGGAAATGTAAGTTAATTATCAATGGTCATCCCTATATCATAGGAAATGTAAGTTAATTATCAATGGTCATCCCTATATCATAGGAAATGTAAGTTAATTATCAATGGTCATCCCTATATCATAGGAAATGTAAGTTAATTATCAATGGTCATCCCTATATCATAGGAAATGTAAGTTAATTATCAATGGTNATCCTTATATCAAAGGAAATGTAAGTTAATTATCAATGGTCATCCTTATATCAAAGGAAATGTAAGTTAATTATCAGTGGTCATCCATATATCAAAGGAAATGTAAGTTAATTATCAATGGTCATCCATATATCATAGGAAATGTAAGTTAATTATCAATGGTCATCCATATATCATAGGAAATGTACACATATTATTTTAAGACTGTACATAGTTATAGCCATAAGAAGGCGCAAGGGAATATTGAAATTGACTGAAGCTTCAAGATACTATTTAATACTTATTTCCAGTGTGGAAGGCCAGCAGTACTGGGGAAGTGTAAGGACTGTGGAGCAGATATTGGGGGACAAGGCTATGTCCTCAGCAACGGAAACGTACAGGACGATGGGTAAGGGTCAGTTTACGGTAAAATTAGGTATAACATACAGGATGATGGGTAAGGGTCTACATTTGGTGTAGCATACAGGATGATGGGTAAGGGTCTACATTAGGTATAACATACAGGATGATGGGTAAGGGTCTACATTTGGTGTAGCATACAGGATGATGGGTAAGGGTCTACATTAGGGGTAGTATACAGGATGATTGGTAAGGATCTACATTAGGTATGTAAGGGTCTACATTAGGTATAGCATACAGGATGGTGGGTAAGGGTCTACATTAAGTGTTGTATACAGGACGATGGGTAAGGGTCTACATTAGGTGTAGTATACAGGATGATTGGTAAGGGTCCACATTAGGTATAGCATACAGGATGATGGGTAAGGGTCTACATTTGGTGTAGCATACAGGATGATTGGTAAGGGTCTACATTAGGTATAGCATACAGGATGGTGGGTAAGGGTCTACATAAGGTGTAGCATACAGGATGATGGGTAAGGGTCTGTTTTAGGTATAATTAGGTATAGCAAACAGGATGATTAGTAAGGGTCTACATTAGGTATAGCATACAGGATGGCGGGCAAGGGTCTACATAAGGTGTAGCATACAGGATGATGGGTAAGGATCTGTTTTAGGTATAATTAGGTATAGCAAACAGGATGATTAGTAAGGGTCTACATTAGGTATAGCATACAGGATGGTGGGTAAGGGTCTACATTAGGTGTAGCATACAGGATAATTGGTAAGGGTCCACATTAGGTGTAGTATACAGGATGATGGGTAAGGGTCTGTTTTAGGTATAATTAGGTATAGCAAACAGGATGATTAGTAAGGGTCTACATTAGGTATAGCATACAGGGTGATGGGTTAGGTATAGTATACAGGATGATGGGTAAGGGTCTACATTAGGTATAGCATACAGGATGGTGGGTAAGGGTCTACATTAGGTGTAGCATACAGGATAATTGGTAAGGGTCTACATTAGGTATGGCATACAGGGTGATGGGTAAGGGTCTACATTAGGTATGGCATACAGGGTGATGGGTAAGGGTCTACATTAGGTATGGCATACAGGGTGATGGGTAAGGGTCTACATTAGGTATGGCATACAGGGTGATGGGTAAGGGTCTACATTAGGTATGGCATACAGGATGATGGGTAAGGGTCTACATTAAGTGTTGTATACAGGATGGTGGGTAAGGGTCTACATTAGGTGTAGCAAACAGGATGATGGGTAAGGGTCTGTTTTAGGTATAATTAGGTATAGCAAACAGGATGATTAGTAAGGGTCTACATTAGGTATAGCATACAGGATGTTGGGTTAGGTACAGCATACAGGATGATGGGTTAACCAGATGATTGGTAAGGGTCTACATTAGGTATGGCATACAGGGTGATGGGTAAGGGTCTACATTAGGTATGGCATACAGGGTGATGGGTAAGGGTCTACATTAGGTATGGCATACAGGGTGATGGGTAAGGGTCTACATTAGGTATGGCATACAGGGTGATGGGTAAGGGTCTACATTAGGTATGGCATACAGGGTGATGGGTAAGGGTCTACATTAGGTATGGCATACAGGGTGATGGGTAAGGGTCTACATTAGGTATGGCATACAGGGTGATGGGTAAGGGTCTACATTAGGTATGGCATACAGGGTGATGGGTAAGGGTCTACATTAGGCACAGCATACAGGGTGATGGGTAAGGATCTACATTAGGTGTAGTATACAGGATGATGGGTAAGGGTCTACATTGGGTGTAGTATACAGGATGATTGGTAAGGGTCCACATTAGGTGTAGTATACAGGATGATGGGTAAGGGTCTGTTTTAGGTATAATTAGGTATAGCAAACAGGATGATTAGTAAGGGTCTACATTAGGTATAGCATACAGGATGTTGGGTTAGGTACAGCATACAGGATGATGGGTTAACAGGATGATTGGTAAGGGTCTACATTAGTTATGGCATACAGGATGATTGGTAAGGATCTACATTAGGTATAGTATACAGGATGATTGGTAAGGATCTACATTAGGTATAGCATACAGGAGTATAGCATACAGGATGGTGGGTAAGGGTCCACATTAGGTATAGCATACAGGATGATTGGTAAGGGTCCACATTAGGTATAGCATACAGGATGATTGGTAAGGATCTACATTAGGTATGGCATACAGGATAATTGGTAAGGGTCTACATTAGGGATGGCATACAGGATGATTGGTAAGGATCTACATTAGGTATGGCATACAGGATGATGGGTAAGGGTCTACATTAAGTGTTGTATACAGGATGGTGGGTAAGGGTCTTCATTAGGTGTAGCAAACAGGATGATGGGTAAGGGTCTGTTTTAGGTATAATTAGGTATAGCAAACAGGATGATTAGTAAGGGTCTACATTAGGTATAGCATACAGGATGATTGTTAAGGGTCTACATTAGGTGTAGTATACAGGATGATTGGTAAGGATCTACATTAGGTATGGCATACAAGATAATTGGTAAGGGTCTACATTAGGTATGGCATACGTAGTATACAGGATGATTGGTAAGGGTCTACATTAAGTGTAGTATACAGGATGGTGGGTAAGGGTCTACATAAGGTGTAGTATACAGGATGATTGGTAAGGATCTACATTAGGTATGGCATACAGGATGATGGGTAAGGGCCTACATTAGGTATGGCATACAGGATGATTGGTAATGATCTACATTAGGTATAGCATACAGGATGATTGGTAAGGGTCCACATTAGGTGTAGTATACAGGATGATGGGTAAGGGTCTACATTAGGTATAACATACAGGATGATGGGTAAGGGTCTACATTAGGTATAGCATACAGGATGATGGGTTAGGTACAGCATACAGGATGATGGGTTAGGTATAGCATACAGGGTGATGGGTTAGGTATAGTATACAGGATGATGGGTAAGGGTCTACATTAGGTACAGCATACAGGATGATCATGATTGGTAAGTGTCTACATTAGGTGTAGCATACAGGATGATTGGTAAGGGTCAACATTAGGTACAGCATACAGGGTGATGGGCTAGGTATAGCAAAGAGGATGATGGGTAAGGGTCTACATTAGGTATGGCATACAGGATGATGGGTAAGGGTCTACATTAGGTATGGCATACAGGGTGATGGGTAAGGGTCTACATTAGGCACAGCATACAGGGTGATGGGTAAGGATCTACATAAGGTATGGCATACAGGATGATTGGTACGGGTCTACATTAGGTATGGCATACAGGATGATTGGTAAGGGTCTACATTAGGTATGGCATACAGGATGATGGGTAAGGGCCTACATTAGGTATGGCATACAGGATGATTGGTAAGGGTCTACATTAGGTATGGCAAACAGGATGATGGGTAAGCGTCTTCATTAGCATCCCTAGGCCAAGGGGACTCAATTTTTGTATAAACGGTGGGTATGGCCTCCCTAGGGGCAGAGGGGTGGGGCCGAATATGGGAAATAGAGGTAAAACTTTTTAAATCCTTTTTCTACCGTGGGGGTAATGGGATTTTATCCTAATTTTGTCTGGAGCATCCTTAGACCAAGGGAACTCAATTTTGTTTAAACAGTGGGTGTGGCCCCCCTGGAGCCAGAGAGGTGCGGCCCAATAGGGGAAATAGAGGTAAAACCTTTAAAATCCTTCTCTTACTGTAGGGATTAAGGGATTATATCCTCATTTTAATCTGGAGCATCTTTGGGCCAAAAGGACTCAATGTTGTATAAACGGTGGATGTGACACCCCTAGGGGAAGAGGGGTTGGGCGGAATAGGGGAAATAGAGGTAAACCTGTAAATTCCTTCTTCTACCATAGGAATTAAAGGATTTTATCCCAATTTTGTCTGGAGCATCCTTGGGCCAAGGGGACTCAATTTTGTATAAACAGTGGGTGTGGCCCCCTGGGGGCAGAGAGGTGGGGCCTTAAAGGGAAAATAGAGGATAAAACCTTTTAAAATCCTTTTTCTATCGTATGGATTAAGGGATTTTATCCTTATTTGGTCTGGAGCATCCTTGGGGCAAGAGGACTCAATTTTGTATTAACGGTGGGTGTGGCCTCCCTGGGCGAAGGGGACTAATTTGTATAAATGGTAGGCGTGGCTCTCATGGGGGCAGAGCCCAAAAGGGGAAATAGAGGTAAAAACCTTTGAAATCCTTCTTCTTCTACCATAGGAAATAAGGGATTTTAGCCCAATTCAACCTAGAGCATACTAAATTTTGTATAAACAATGGGTTTGGACCCATGGAGGCTGAGAGTTGTGGGCCCAATAGGGAAATTAGAGGTTTAAATCTTTAAAATCTTTCTTCTTCTGTACTATTGGAAGGATCTTGTGTTATAAGAATGCTTTCCCATGGTTGCTTTATTATCCAGGTGAGCGATACAGGCCCCCTGGGCCTCTTGTTTACTATAACAGCACATTTATGTCCAGGTATTTGAATTTCTGCTCACAAGAATGTCAGGTCAGATGGGAGCAAGTGAAACAATCATTCCCGCAATAATTTTCATAAAGAAAACATTTTGTAATACAGGTTCCAGAGCTTTCTAATGTTAAATACATCATTGTTCAATTAAACAAACTTATTGGATTTTGTAGTGAATTTAAAAATCAGTATGTAATAAAATTATTGTGTGAAACACTGGTGCATCATGCTGAAGAAAAAACATTGAACAGTGCCCTTCTACATGCCAGCATTTATGACTGAATTTTTGTTAATGAATATAAATTGATGTTAAAAGGTAAGATCTGTGGATAAAGACCGATATTTTTCTCTCTTGTAAATATGCATTGTTCTATTTTTCCAAGCTGTACAAATGTGTATTCCTGTAGATTTGTTATATTTTGTGCATGCCTTCTTCCTCCAATTGGCCTCTCTTTGTGTTTCATTGATGATAATGTGACTTTATACAAGAATATAAGTACAATTGTAGTATAAGTAATTTGCAGCATCCTATTGGAAAGTTAAATTCCTCAATATAAAGGCCTTTGTAGATGGTTTCTTGAGCCTTGATACCGAAGAAACCAAGATAAATGTTACACAAGGAATTTGACATTTAATTGCATAAGTGTTGCATTTAGACTAAATTAAAATTGGCATAAAGTGTGAAGTAATGTTTTAACCCTTGATCAAAACTGAATTAAACTGTGAAATAATGAGTGATTTACTTACTGACCCCAGGACTGACAAGACCAAACCTGGCCATATTCTTGGTCGGGCTGACCAGAGAACAGATGTTGTTGTGGCTGAAAGAAAGATGTCCCGGGTCACCTGCGTCATACTGAGGCTCCTTACCCATGTAGCAATGCTGTTGGGCACCAACGAAAATCCTCAAGTACGAGATTACACATGCTCCTTGTTGTTGACTGAAGAGACTGGTTCCTCTCACTGATTTCCATTCCAGAGTAAAAGGATTCATGATGAACCATGAAATTGTAAAAAGAAATCTTTTTAGTATCAATTCACATGACAACAGTACATGTTTGAAAATAATTTTCTTCAGTAATTATGATTTAACAGACATAAGACATTGTCAAAGTTTGGTAAAAATTCATTATTACACTGTAAGTTGATTGTGTATTTGTAGGTGATCTGTAGTATGATCAAACCAGACATTCCAGATAACAAAATAGTGGAATTCCTGCTAAACCACATCGAACTGGACATCGCCAGTCTACAACGAGTGACTGGGCGGAGTGTGGATGATGTTCTACTGCTGATACACAAGGTCCTGTCTAGTGTCACAGAGACCTACAACAATGGAGGTACGTCAGTTGTAGTAAACATGTAATACAGTTCATGTTACACTAGGTCCTGTCTATAGTGTCACAGAGACCTACAACAATGGAGGTACGTCAGTTGTAGTAAACATGTAATACAGTACATGTTACACAAGGTCTTGTCTAGTGTCACAGAGACCTACAACAATGGAGGTACGTCAGTTGTAGAAAACATGTAATACAGTTCATGTTACACAAGGTCCTGTCTAGTGTCACAGAGATCTACAACAATAGAGGTTTGTTAATTGTAGTAATTATTTGGTAAAAGTATTACACATCATAATGAGTTGTAACTTTGAAAGTTTTTAAAAGTGCAGTTGTTTTTAAACGCCCGTCAAATTTGACAGGAGTATTATGGTATGGCGTTGTCCGTCCGTGCGTCCATCCGGCGTAAACTTTTGTTTGTCCGGCAATCTCCTCATTTTTGTAACGGATCTCTTTGTAACTTAGTAGGCTAAATAATCATGATATGTTGTGTTTCTTTGAAAAGAATTTTGAATCAACACTTTTTGCAAAAGTTATTGCCCTTTGTTTATTTCAGTATTTGATTTTTGTCCGGCAATCTCCTTCTACATTTTTCAACGGATCTCTTTGAAACTTGATTTAATTATAATCATGATATGAAGTTGTGTCGATCTGCCTTAAAAGAATTTTAATTCGACAATTTTTCCAAAAGTTATTGCCCTTTGTTCATTTCAGTATTTGATTTTTGTCCGGCATTCTCTTCCTACATTTTTCAACGGATCTCTTGCAAACTTAGTAGGCTAAATAATCATGATATCTTGTTGTGTTTCCTTGAAAAGAATTTTGATTCGACTATTTTTGCAAAAGTTATTGCCCTTTGCATGTTCATTTCAGTATTTTCTCCAACATTTTCATAGCATGTCAGCTAACCACTCTTTGAATGATGCAGATCTTATTTCAATGTAAGAAAATATTACTATCACTGTTTATTAATGTTTGTTGGTTTAGGTGAATATTAAAGGAAAGGTGATGGAACTCCAGGATCTAAAAAACTTTTATGTGACAACAATCTGCATTTCAGGGGCACAGAGTGCAGACTTATGTAGCCTGGTCACCAAGAAAGCTAGAAACCAGTGGGAGGAGATGTTCAGCAAACATTGTCTGTCACCACTGTTACAGGTAGAGTGTTTAATTGTCACCACTGTTACAGGTAGTGTTTAATTGTCACCACTGTTACAGGTAGTGTGTTTAATTGTCACCACTGTTACAGGTATAGAGTCTTTAATTGTCACCACTGTTACAGGTAGAGTGTTTAACTGTCACCACTGTTACAGGTAGAGTGTTTAACTGTCACCACTGTTACAGGTAGAGTCTTTAACTGTCACCACTGTTACAGGTAGAGTGTTTAACTGTCACCACTGTTACAGGTAGAGTGTTTAACTGTCACCACTGTTACAGGTAGAGTGTTTAACTGTCACCACTGTTACAGGTAGAGTGTTTAACTGTCACCACTGTTACAGGTAGAGTGTTTAACTGTCACCACTGTTACAGGTAGAGTGTTTAACTGTCACCACTGTTACAGGTAGAGTGTTTAACTGTCACCACTGTTACAGGTAGAGTGTTTAACTGTCACCACTGTTACAGGTAGAGTGTTTAACTGTCACCACTGTTACAGGTAGAGTGTTTAACTGTCACCACTGTTACAGGTAGAGTGTTTATAGTCACAACTGTTACAGGTATAGAGTGTTTAATTGTCACCACTGTTACAGGTAGAGTGTTTATAGTCACCACTGTTACAGGTATAGAGTGTTTAATTGTCACCACTGTTACAGGTAGAGTGTTTAACTGTCACCACTGTTACAGGTAGAGTGTTTAACTGTCACCACTGTTACAGGTAGAGTGTTTAATTGTCACCACTGTTACAGGTAGAGTGTTTAATTGTCACCACTGTTACAGGTAGAGTGTTTAATTGTCACCACTGTTACAGGTAGAGTGTTTAATTGTCACCACTGTTACAGGTAGAGTGTTTAATTGTCACCACTGTTACAGGTAGAGTGTTTAATTGTCACCACTGTTACAGGTAGAGTGTTTAATTGTCACCACTGTTACAGGTAGAGTGTTTAATTGTCACCACTGTTACAGGTAGAGTGTTTAATTGTCACCACTGTTACAGGTAGAGTGTTTAATTGTCACCACTGTTACAGGTAGAGTGTTTAATTGTCACCACTGTTACAGGTAGAGTGTTTAATTGTCACCAATATTACAGGTAGAGTGTTTAATTGTCACCACTGTTACAGGTAGAGTGTTTATAGTCACCATTGTTACAGTTAGAGTGTTTAATTTTCACCACTGTTACAGTTAGAGTGTTTAATTGTCACCACTGTTACAGGTATAGAGTGTTTAATTGTCACCACTGTTACAGGTAGAGTGTTTATAGTCACCATTGTTACAGGTAGAGTGTTTAACTGTCACCACTGTTACAGGTAGAGTCTTTAACCGTCACCACTGTTACAGGTAGAGTGTTTAATTCTCACCACTGTTACAGGTAGAGTGTTTAATTGTCACCACTGTTACAGGTAGAGTGTTTAATTGTCACCACTGTTACAGGTAGAGTGTTTAATTGTCACCACTGTTACAGGTAGAGTGTTTAATTGTCACCACTGTTACAGGTAGAGTGTTTAATTGTCACCACTGTTACAGGTAGAGTGTTTAATTGTCACCACTGTTACAGGTAGAGTGTTTAATTGTCACCACTGTTACAGGTAGAGTGTTTAATTGTCACCACTGTTACAGGTAGAGTGTTTAATTGTCACCACTGTTACAGGTAGAGTGTTTAATTGTCACCACTGTTACAGGTAGAGTGTTTAATTGTCACCACTGTTACAGGTAGAGTGTTTAATTGTCACCACTGTTACAGGTAGAGTGTTTAATTGTCACCACTGTTACAGGTAGAGTGTTTAATTGTCACCACTGTTACAGGTAGAGTGTTTAATTGTCACCACTGTTACAGGTAGAGTGTTTAATTGTCACCACTGTTACAGGTAGAGTGTTTAATTGTCACCACTGTTACAGGTAGAGTGTTTAATTGTCACCACTGTTACAGGTAGAGTGTTTAATTGTCACCACTGTTACAGGTAGAGTGTTTAATTGTCACCACTGTTACAGGTAGAGTGTTTAATTGTCACCACTGTTACAGGTAGAGTGTTTAATTGTCACCACTGTTACAGGTAGAGTGTTTAATTGTCACCACTGTTACAGGTAGAGTGTTTAATTGTCACCACTGTTACAGGTAGAGTGTTTAATTGTCACCACTGTTACAGGTAGAGTGTTTAATTGTCACCACTGTTACAGGTAGAGTGTTTAATTGTCACCACTGTTACAGGTAGAGTGTTTAATTGTCACCACTGTTACAGGTAGAGTGTTTAATTGTCACCACTGTTACAGGTAGAGTGTTTAATTGTCACCACTGTTACAGGTAGAGTGTTTAATTGTCACCACTGTTACAGGTAGAGTGTTTAATTGTCACCACTGTTACAGGTAGAGTGTTTAATTGTCACCACTGTTACAGGTAGAGTGTTTAATTGTCACCACTGTTACAGGTAGAGTGTTTAATTGTCACCACTGTTACAGGTAGAGTGTTTAATTGTCACCACTGTTACAGGTAGAGTGTTTAATTGTCACCACTGTTACAGGTAGAGTGTTTAATTGTCACCACTGTTACAGGTAGAGTGTTTAATTGTCACCACTGTTACAGGTAGAGTGTTTAATTGTCACCACTGTTACAGGTAGAGTGTTTAATTGTCACCACTGTTACAGGTAGAGTGTTTAATTGTCACCACTGTTACAGGTAGAGTGTTTAATTGTCACCACTGTTACAGGTAGAGTGTTTAATTGTCACCACTGTTACAGGTAGAGTGTTTAATTGTCACCACTGTTACAGGTAGAGTGTTTAATTGTCACCACTGTTACAGGTAGAGTGTTTAATTGTCACCACTGTTACAGGTAGAGTGTTTAATTGTCACCACTGTTACAGGTAGAGTGTTTAATTGTCACCACTGTTACAGGTAGAGTGTTTAATTGTCACCACTGTTACAGGTAGAGTGTTTAATTGTCACCACTGTTACAGGTAGAGTGTTTAATTGTCACCACTGTTACAGGTAGAGTGTTTAATTGTCACCACTGTTACAGGTAGAGTGTTTAATTGTCACCACTGTTACAGGTAGAGTGTTTAATTGTCACCACTGTTACAGGTAGAGTGTTTAATTGTCACCACTGTTACAGGTAGAGTGTTTAATTGTCACCACTGTTACAGGTAGAGTGTTTAATTGTCACCACTGTTACAGGTAGAGTGTTTAATTGTCACCACTGTTACAGGTAGAGTGTTTAATGGTCACCACCGTTACAGGTAGAGTGTTTAATTGTCACCACTGTTACAGGTAGAGTGTTTAATTGTCACCACTGTTACAGGTAGAGTGTTTAATTGTGACCAATGTTACAGGTATAGAGTCTTTAATTGTCACCACTGTTACAGGTATAGAGTCTTTAACTGTCACCATTGTTACAGGTAGAGTGTTTATTGTCACCACTGTTACAGGTAGAGTGTTTAATTGTCACCACTGTTACAGGTAGAGTGTTTAATTGTCACCACTGTTACAGGTAGAGTGTTTAATTGTCACCACTGTTACAGGTAGAATGTTTAATTGTCACCACTGTTACAGGTAGATTGTTTAATTGTCACCACCGTTACAGGTAGAGTGTTTAATTGTCACCAATGTTACAGGTAGTGTTTATAGTCACCACTGTTACAGGTAGAGTGTTTATAGTCACCACTGTTACAGGTAGAGTGTTTAATTGTCACCACTGTTACAGGTGGTATTTACACCTAAATACTTACAGTCCTGGTACCCTATGTATTTGTATTGTCATTTCTTTAGATACCTAAACATAAAGTCCTGATACCCTATGTATTTGTATTGTCATTTCTTTAGATACTTAAACATAAAGTCCTTTAGATACTTAAACATAAAGTCCTGATACCCTATGTATTTGTATTGTCATTTCTTTAGATACTTAAACATAAAGTCCTGATACCCTATGTATTTGTATTGTCATTTCTTTAGATACTTAAACATAAGGTCCTGATACCCTATGTATTTGTATTGTAATTCCTTTAGATACTTAAACATAAAGTCCTGATACCCTATGTATTTGTATTGTTATTCCTTTAGATACTTAAACATAAAGTCCTGATACCCTATGTATTTGTATTGTCATTCCTTTAGATACTTAAAAATAAAGTCAGGTTATTATATTTCTTGCTTCAGTGGCTTTAAATTCTAGGGGAATTCACCCCCAATCTCAATTGGTAGGTATACGATGGCGGGTACCAATATTGCTCTAAAATCTCTTGTTGTTATATAGAACTTATGAAGATCTTACCATGGTGGGTACCAAGATCGCTCTCAAATCTCTTGCTGTTATATAGAACTTAGGAAGATCTTACAATAGTGGGTACTAAGATTGCTCCAAGATTTCTTGTTGTTATATAGAATTTAGGAAGATCTTACAAAAGTGGGTACCAAGATCACTCTTAAGATCTCTTGTTGTTATGTAGAACTTAGGAAGATCTTACAATAGTGGGTACTAAGATTGCTCCAAGATCTCTTGTTGTTATATAGAATTTAGGAAGATCTTACAAAAGTGGGTACCAAGATCACTCTAAGATCTCTTGTTGTTATGTAGAACTTAGGAAGATCTTACAATAGTGGGTATGCCAGTTGTGTATTGATTGAATTGTCTAAAGGTAGAATGTACAGCTTCTTGCTAACTATATAATTTTGCAGGTGATATACAGTTATGAGTTATCTGTCATCTTCTGAATCTCTAGCTACAGTATGTTTAACTACCTTTTTTGTCCTCTGTATCGAGGATCAATTAATTATTACAGAGAATGTTAGTACAAACATTCTTATATTTGTTGATTTAACTGTGAAAGGTAAATAAAACCGGGCGAATATGGGTTTTACTGGTGATTTAGTGGAGTATTAACCTTGATGAAAATTTCTCCTAAGTATAGTAAGTTAGCTGCAGATTAATGTAATGACATTTTTTGTATTTGACAGGATATGGAGAAAACAATAAAATCATGCAACAAGCAACTTACTCAAGACCAGAGACTGGGTAAGTGCTTTCTTATCGGGTTGATAAAACTTGGTATGCTTGGACACCATCAAAAGTGCTATATCATAATTTATATACTTACTGGTATACCTTGTTAATAAAATGCTTTGTGGACATTTTATTTACAGCAATCATTGATGAATAGTAGCCATCATGCTAATATCCATAATCATCTTTTAGAGTGCATAACTATGTAATGTTGACAGTACCAGACTCTGTTGTACCTGACCTGAGGTCTATAACTATGTAATGTTGACAGTACCAGACTCTGTTGTACCTTACCTGAGGTTTATAACTATGTAATGTTGACAGTACCAGACTCTGATGCACCGGACCTCAGGTCTATAACTATGTAATGTTGACAGTACCAGACTCTGTTGTACCTTACCTGAGGTTTATAACTATGTAATGTTGACAGTACCAGACTCTGTTGTACCTTACGTGAGGTCTATAACTATGTAATGTTGACAGTACCAGACTCTGTTGTACCTTACCTGAGGTTTATAACTATGTAATGTTGACAGTACCAGACTCTGTTGTACCTTACGTGAGGTCTATAACTATGTAATGTTGACAGTACCAGACTCTGTTGTACCTTACGTGAGGTCTATAACTATGTAATGTTGACAGTACCAGACTCTGTTGTACCTTACCTGAGGTTTATAACTATGTAATGTTGACAGTACCAGACTCTGTTGTACATCCAGTTATGATATAATATAGATATATATGTTGACAGGATCAGATCCCCTGCTTTGCCTCCTGTTTGAGATAGACACGCCCCAGCACCAAGTTTCCGCTGTGGCTCTACAGGAAGTGGCGTCAGTGTGGAGGTTTCGGTCACGAATCTCAATGGATCACCTCACCACTGTCTTCCAGACAAAGATGGGCAGGGAGCATCAAATCCTCAAGCTATTTCTGGACGAGGTAAATCTAGGACCCTTCTTTTCCTTGAAAACATCAAATTAAGGCCAGATTTTGATTTACAGGAATGATTCTTAGTATAACATATGAAATGAATATATAAAAAATCAATATTTTGAAGAAATCTTTTTCTGAATTTATAGGATTGCCATCTTCGAGCCCTACGTCATGTCCCCAGCATTTTGCGCCTCCAGAGAATGTTGATTCACAAATACCAGAGGAAGCTGGACAGGGCTGAGGCCACAGCCTTTACTGTGGAAAGTGCTCAAAACGACTTTATAGAAGGTGATATTTCACTTCCTTCCAGGAAAAGTTGCGCTATTTGTTGTGCTATAAATGCCTAAGTTTATGACACTATTGTAAATGGTAGATAGGCTCTCATTGACAAATCTGTTTGGTTGATTTTACCTAAGTCTCTCACTGACAAACTTATGTTGTAGATGGCAAAGAAGACGAGGTGAAACAGCTGATACAAGATTTTGCAGAGGCCTGGAATTGTGTCCGACAGGCTCTGGAAACTTTCCGTAAGTCAAAATTTGCTCTACTTTCATAGTGAACAGTAAACAGTAAATTTAAAAACAATCAGATCTTCTTTATTCCCCCACAAGGAAGTTTGAGAAGGTATACCGGAACCAGTTTGTCTGTCAAGCCTTCCCTATGTAGACTAAAAGTATCTTTCCCTGCCTTGAGAGTGTGACAGAAAGGCTCCCTTTTTTACATCCTCAAGGTACGGTACTCTTTTCTCCCAACCTATTATTTTGATCACATCTCCACTGACAGTAGACTGGGATGTTCGTAAACAAAGGCACATGTGGAGTATAAATATTACCATTCACTATTTGTGATATCACAATTTAGCTGATTCCATTCTGCATAAGGCTATCTCTCCCTTAAGGGGTGACAAGCTGATCTTCTCAAGCTAAAACCAGAGACACTTGTAAAGGATGGGAGAATAAATTGATTATAATGCATTCTGCTGCCTCAAGACTGGTACATCAATTTCAGCGAAACTTTGAATACGTGATATGTTCCTAATACATCTGTGCAAAATGTCATTTTTTTTCATTTTGATACTTTTTAGGTCACCTGAGCTTTAGCTCAAGTGACCTATTGCTATCCGTTTTCGTCCGTCGTCGTCCGTTAACATTTTACATTTCAAACTTAAAGTCAAGTTCTGCTGGGCCGATTGAACTGAAAGTTGGTAGGAATGATCGCCTCATGGTCCTGACAAAGTGTTGTTATTTTT